GCCCCGCTGCGCCTAGCCCTCCCGCGCAGCTGCACGTACGCGCGCAAGAAAACGCCGCATTTGCGTAAAAACGTCCACCCGCCGCCGCCATCCGCGACGTGGCCTTGGTCGCCAGAAGCAGCAGCAGCAGCCGAGGGTACTCTCTCATATATACGGGAAATAAAACGAAGCGTAATGCAGCGCACGGACAGGAAGCGAACGGGCGGTTTAGGGGGGAAGAAAAACAAGAGAGAAAAGCGGCGGCAGAGAGAAAGGAAATAAAGAGAAGGGCCCTGGTGGCGGGCACAGCATGTGCGCAGATGAGAGATGCACCTCGCAGCGCGCGTACCAAACCCGCCGCCGCGCGTGCAATAAAAAGAAATCGGAAATGACTTCTCATATTTTAAAAGTTTATTACACATACATGCCCTGTGTGCCGCGTGGGGCGGCGGCGGCGGCGGCGGGTGTGGCGGGACGTGGCGGGGTGTGGCGCGGCGGCGAGCAGGCTTTCAGATGGCGAGGGGGTGGAAAGGAAAAGAGATTCGATAAGGGTTTGTTGGTACAGCAAACACGGAGCCCGGGCGCGGCGGCGCGGCGGCGGCCCAAGCACCTCCTCGCACCTGGCCAAAGCCAGCCGCCCGGGCGGGCACGCGCACGCGCACGCGCACGCCGAGCACCTCGAGCGGAATGGGGTCGCTCCGTCCCGCAGTGAATCCATTGGGGTCACGTCGTGGGAGAATAAACCTTTATGAATGATCAGGAGACCGTTGGCGCTGACAGGCTGGTAGAGAGGTGCTCGGCCGAGGGGGTGTTTGCTGCTCGTGTGCTCCACGAGGCTCTCCGTCAGGAAGCTGGTGGGCTTGGCAGCGCTGGCCGTGAGCTGCGGTATCGCAGGGGCGGGCGGGCGCGTGAGCTACGGGTGCGGGCCGCGCCACCACTCCTCTACTCACTTTGGCCCCAAAGCCTCCTCCTGCTCGGCGCTCCTCCCCGCCACGCCCCGCCACGCAACGCCACGCTCCGCCCTGTGGGTGCCATTTGTTGTAGGCTCTTGCGGCCGCGGATTCCAGGGTGGGCGGTGGGCGGGCGTGCAGCTGGTGCCGGCCCGGGCGGGGCCGAGGGGCCAACTGGGGCGCCCCCCGGGGGGCACGGCCGGCCCCGGTGTGCTACTGGTAGAAGCAGTTCCTCTCCCATGAGCACATCCTCGACACCCGAGCGAAGCCGCCGACATGGGAGAAGGGCCTTGGGGGAGGACGGACCGAGCGACCTCGGGCGCGCATCGGGCGATGAGCTGAATTTTATGCCCTCCGTGCTCTGTGTATACATACACCGCCGAGTGCGAAAGCGATCGTAAAGCTTGTCGCCGGCGGCGCATCACAGCTCAGGCCGCTCAGCATCACCCTCTCCTCCCGTCTCCTCTCCAGATCATGGACCATGGCGACGGGGAGCGGAGAAGGGAGGGAGCAAAACGCCGCTCGCTCCAGACCGACGACAGAGCCGGAGCATCTCTTGTGACAAAATATTTAAATCGGATTCTCAGCGGCGCGGTGGTGCGACCGTCGTCACTGCGCCTGCCGCCTGGTGGTGGTGCTCGGCAGAGCCCGGCAGAGAGCCCGGCACTCGGCTCGGGAGGAGAAAAACCTCGACGCATATAGAAAGAGGTGGCGCAGCAGCAGCGCCGGGGGTAGCAACGCGGAAGAAAAGAGGCGACGACAAAAAAATATAAAATGAAAAAAAATATATGAAAAGTTGCAGAGGATGAATAATAATGATAATAACGCCATCCAGCCGGGCATCGGGGAT